GGTCCCCAACCACCGGTCCCTAGACCGGGACTGGTCCGTGGATCATTTTTTACCGGGCCGCAAAGCTTGGGCGCCGCCATCTTGTTTCGACGGCGCTTCCGGGTTTTCGGTTGCTTCCGGGTTTTCGGTTGGAAAGCGGCGTTTGGGTGCTCATGCCTTAGTTTCGTCGAAGGGGGGGGCGGCTTCGAACGAAGAGCCGTCCCGACGGCAGTGGAGTCTCGCATTACTCAGGTACCGGTCCGTGGAAGAATAAATAATCGTGAAACCGGTCCCTGGTTCAAAAAAGGTTGGGGGTCATTGTTCTAAATGATTCTTGGGCAACCCAACCCAAGCTGCTCTGTGAGTTTATTGCAAATGTCTGGGACTTTGTCCTAATTATCTTGTTTTGCTTCTCCAGCCCACTTGGAGTTTCCCACTTCTTTTTTTTATTTTAAAGCCTGACTCCAAAGTTATACAACTCTTAAAGCAGGGACATCTTTTAAAAAATAATCCACGCAGATGCCTGAAAAAAGCATGGCTTTGATAAATAACTGAATCAGTCTTGAAATGGGCATTTTCCTTCTGCCCTGTTCCGTAATGCAGAACAGGAATTTAAAAACTAAGGAAGCCAACTTATGTGGACTTCACACTGTAGAGGGCAAGGTCTGTAATGTTTTAATATTGAACCCACTTTTGGGAGGGCCACCCTCAATATATCAAGACTTGTTTGCTTGTTGCCACTTGCTTGCTAATGATCACATTCCTTGGTTTTCCAAAAGTGTTTAAACGTTATGCCGATTGGGTTATCTCCATTTTTGATTTAATCCTGAGAGAAAGCTCTTTGCCCTCTACAGAATGAACAGGTTGCAATGCATTTTCCTCCCTTGTATGATAATTGGCTACATCACACCAGGGAAAAAACAAATCCGGCATTTGACTGTGTCAATTTATGGTTTTTTTAAAAAAATTTTATTAGTTTATCATATAGCATACAAAGAAAATATGCAAGTAAATAGTAGGGATGTTAGGGAAGGAAAAAGGGAAGAGAAAAGTGGGGGAAAGCAAGGGGAAATAAGGGGAGGAAAATGGTTGATTTCCAACTTCCTTTGGTGCAGTAAAATAAGGCATTAACATCAAATTTCAACTTTTTACCTTTACATAATACAATAAACTAGCCATTTCTATAACAACAAATCTATCTAATTGGCAAAACCCAAAATCAAAGTCTCATTTTTTTCCAGCTCAAGCACAAAGCCCAGAAGCTGGTTAATTGTTCTCAACTGTCAGGAAATTTCTCCTTAGTTCTAAGTTGCTTCTCTCCTTGATTAGTTTCCACTCATTGCTTCTTGTCCTGCCTTCAGGGGCTTTGGAGAATAGCTTGACTCCCTCTTCTTCGGGGCAGCCCCTGAGATATTGGAAGACTGCTATCCTGTCTCCCCTAGTCCTTCTTTTCATTAAAGTAGACATACTGTCAGGGTTCCAAGTAATAGACCCATACCAAGAAAAACTATGAGGCAGATGAATTCCTCAAAGAATAGCTTTACCGGATATATCATATTGACACAGACCTGGTGAAAATCGACTCTGAAGATTCCTGCGTTTTTCACCTAATTAAAAGTAAGCATTTTCTCTCCACCCCAAACAATCATTCACATGGTTCAATCGATGTTGTCCATTTGCCTGGCAAACACACTCCTCCTTCCTTCGGCCAGGTGTGAAAATGACCTTGGTTCACAAGAGAAAGTATTTTATTATGGCTACAAAACCCCAGCTATCTCCAATCCCCCCTCCCTAACTCTCAACTCCAGTGTGGCAGTGCTGAAGCTCCAACAGGCCAGCTTCAGAATTGACACATACCCAATTCCAGCAACCGTTCTTCGTATGTTTCAGCCTCCAGTCCCCTAATCCTCTTTGTTGCTCTTCTCTGTACTCTTTCCGGAGTCTCAACATCTTTTTTACATCGTGATGATCAAAACTGGATGCAGTACTCCAAGTGTGGTCTTACCAAGGCATTATAAAGTGGTATTAACACTTTACGAGATCTTGATTCGATCAAGATCTTAGGAGGAGTTTAACATAAAGCCTGAACTCAACTTGATACCCCAGGAAGCCTTTCATGAAGCTTTGGAATCAAGCTTCTTAAAAAAATCCCTAAGGTAGAAGAAGGATATTATTCGAGATTTTTATGGGAAATTATATAAGCAAGAGAATATTGATGAGGAAAGAGTTAAACAGTATTTACAGAATGCTAATCTACCTAAGATACCTAAAGAGACTGAAAAAATGTTAGAAAGCAATATAACAATGATGGAGTTAACTGAAGCACTTAAGAAGCAAAATAATGGAAAGGCACCAGGCCCAGATGGATTTCCGGCAGAATTCTATAAAACACTACAAGAATCGTTGAACCTTCCATTGCTAGAAGTTATGAATGAAGTCATGTTAAAGAAGAAGATACCTAAAACATGGTCAGAAGCCTATATCACACTTATTCCAAAAGAAGAGGCTGATCCATTGCAAATTAAGAATTATAGACCTATTTCTTTATTAAATGCAGATTATAAAATCTTCTCTTCAATATTGGCAGAAAGACTTAAAAAATATTTAAATAACTTTATTCATTCTGACCAAAACAGATTTCTGCCAAAGAGACAAATCAAAGATAATATGAGAGTAATTTTGGATACTTTGGAATACTATGAGGCACACCCTGAAAAACAAATGGCTTTGATATTTTTAGATGCACAAAAGGCATTTGATAATGTGAATTGGAGATTCATGTTATTATTATTGGAACAGATGGGTTTTGCCAGAAAATTTATTCAAGCAATAGAAGCCATACACCACAAGCAAATGGCAAAGGTAATGATAGAGGGAGAATTGACAGACTCTATTAATATAAGAAAAGATACAAGACAAGGATACCCACTATCACCTTTGCTATTTGTATTAACTTTGGAAGTGTTAAACAGAAATATTAGAGACGAAAAGAGTATAAAAGGAATGAAAATTAAAAAGGAAGAATTTAAATTGCAAGCCTTTGAGGATGACTTGGTTTTTATTTTAGAAGACCCTTTAGAAACAGCACCAAAATTATTGGAAAAGATAGAGGCATATGGCAAGGTGGCTGGTTTGAAAATAAACAAAGATAAGACAAAGATTTTGACAAAGAATATGCTATCAAGACAAAAAGAAGAATTGGCAGATCTATTGAAAATTCAAGTCATGAATAAGATCAAGTATTTGGGGATACATTTGACAGCAAGATGTAGTACATTAAAAGAGAATAATTATATTAAACTTAAACAGCAGATAGCGCTAGACTTGGCGAAATGGGAAAATCTACAATTGTCATTAATAGGGAGAATTTCAACAATCAAGATGAATATATTACCCAGAATTCTATATTTGTTTCAAACAATTCCAATTAGGCTTGGAAAAGACTATTTTGAAGATTTAAATAAAATTGTGTTGAAATATATATGGCAAGGTAAGAAAGCAAGAATAAAGTTAAAACTCTTGCAAGATGCTAGAATTAGAGGAGGATTTGGTTTGCCTAATTGGGAGCTGTACTACCAAGCTACAAACTTGACATGGGTTAAGGAATGGATAACATTAAGAAATACTAGATTGTTGACATTAGAAGGACATGATTTGTTGTTGGGGTGGCACGCTTTTTTATGGTATAAGGGAACCAAAACACAGGGCTATTTTAGAAGACATCATACACGGGAGTCTCTGTGGTTAAATTGGGAGAAGATTAAAAGACAATGTTATTTGAAAATTCCAGTTTGGTTATCGACTATTGAAGCATTTTCCTATCCTATAATATACAAGGAGAAACAAACAGTTAGATATGGGGAAATATTGAATGAAAAGGGTGAACTTAAATCTATGCAAAAACTAGAGGAACAAGGGATAAAGATGAATTGGTTTTCATATGTGCAAATACACTCAAGGTATGATAAAGATTTTAAAACAGAAGGTTTTTATGATAAATTGACTGACTTAGATAAGATTTTGACAGGTACTGATGAAAAGGTGATTTAAAAACTAAATGGATATTTATTAGAAACTAAACTAGAAGAAGAACAAGTTAAAGAAACTATGATTGCTTGGGGGAAGAATTTTGGATATGGGATTGATTTAGAGAAATGGCAAAAATTGTGGTCTCAAAATTATAAAATGACAATGTCAACAGCATTTAAAGAAAACTTGTATAAGATGTTTTACAGGTGGCATTTCCCCCCGACAAGAATAGCAAGAATGTTCAAGAACAAATCTGAAAAATGTTGGAAATGTCATCAGATACCTGGCTCATATTACCATATGTGGTGGACTTGTGCGGATGCTAGAAAATACTGGACTAAAATCTACATGTGGTTGGAAAAAATGACAAAAAAACATATAGATTTGAAACCAGAGATATTTTTATTGGGAATTTTACCTGATACATATAGCAAAGATTTGAAATATTTGATTGTAAATGTATTAACAGAGGCTAGAATTGTATTTGCTAAAAATACCATCACAGGAGGAAATCATTAAGAAAATATTGGAATGTGCTGAAATGAGTAGATTGACATTTGAAATTAGAGAACAAGAGGATAAACAATTTTACAAAATTTGGGACCTTTTCTATCAATGGTTAGATAATAAAATATAATAATAGAATATGTAGAATTTTAGAAAATAATGAATATATAAAGATGTATTTCTTTTTTATTATTATTATATCTACAAAATGTTTTTAGGATAGATTTGGGAGGATTATTTGAATTGTTATAAAATAAACTAAGTAAATTATAGTTATCTCACAAAATATGAATGAACAAAATTATTGTCAAATGATTGATTAATAATACTAGGGTATTCAATTTTTGATTGATAATATGAGCTATTATGCAATGTAACTGTAATTGAGACTATAAAATGGATGCACACAAAAAGTTTGTAAACCAACCGACACACTGCTTTTATACTTATGGAAGAAAGTTGGATGTTTTTATGTTTTATTTGTTTTTGTTTGTCTTTAAAAACCAATAAAATTTACAAAAAAAAATCCCTAAGGTCCAAGAATGGTGTTGCACGCCAGGAATTTAAATCTACGGAATGAATCTAAAATAACTGTAGCATGAACGAAGCTGGGGCCTTTCTAGGAAGTAGAGGAACTTCCTGGGAGAGAAATTTCCTTGAAATAAGAGTATCTGTTCTGGGTTACAAAGGCTTAAATCTGTTTAAAACTAGCGAAAGAAGTTCGAATAAAAGTTTAGGTATCATGGCAATAAATGCCTCCCTTAGCATTTCAAAAGCTGAGGTGATCCAGTTTGATGTGTCCACGGTTTCTTCCTTTTTGGTTTTGAGCTGATAGATTTCCATTTCCAGTTGGTTTGCTTCCTTACAGAAACCCTCTTCCGATAAAGCCTTCTGCTCCTGCAGACAAAGGAAATGTCACCATTAGACTGAAAACAAACATGCAACTAGCTTTGCAGACCAGGCTCAAGAATAGACTTGGCTATTTTACCCCCCCGCCGGGCCACAGCCCTTTGGAGGCCTGTGTGAAGTAATGGAAATTAAGACATCAAATGAAAATAAGTACACAATTCTGATCTTTGTAGGCACAGACACATCTTTTCCAAGGTCTTTGCTGCTCCTCTTCCAAGTGGTGATCTGTTACGGCAGGGGTGTCAAACACAAGGCCCATGGGCTGGATGTGGCCCGCGATGTAGTCGGCCCATGGGGCCATCCTGGCAAATGTAAGGAGCCAGCCCACATCCCTTCGGCCCGGTCTACCCAATACAAAGAGGAAACATGCCAGCAGTTTGGAGAGTGGTGTCAAGCTAGCCAAACCCACCCAGTTGGCCACACCCACCCAGTCAGCCATGCCCCCCCCCCCGTCAACCACAGCCCTGATGCGGCCCTCAATGAAATTGAGTTTGACACCCCTGCGTTACAGCATGTTTCTTGACTGCTGGGTTGTTGTTTTTTTACTGTTGATGGTTGGTCTCTAAAAAACAGAAGCTATCTACCGCTTCAATATCTTCACCGCTAATATAAGAAGTCCTCGACTTACAATCATAATTGAGCTCAACATTCCTGTTGCTAAGCGAGACATTAGTTAACTGAGTTTTGCTCCGTTTTATTGACCTTACTTGCCACTGTTGTTAGAGTGAATCCCTGAAGTTAGTTCTTAAGCGAATAACCTGGTTCTTAAGTGAACCTGGCTTCCCCATTGACTTTGGTTGACAGAAGGTTGCAAAAGGTTGCAAAAAACATGAGCCCAGGATATTGCAAGCATCATCAATCACGAGCCAGTTGCCAAGGGTCCAAATTTTGATCACCGAATATCTGTAGCTCTGGTGTAGGAGATAAAGGTGGAGGTTCATTTTCTGAGCTTGTGGGTTGGTTTCCAAACATTTCGTTACCAGGCTAAGTAACATCTTCAGTGGAGTTTAGGGGATGTCATTGTCTGTGTGTCCTGTTCGTCAAACATACTGAAACACAAACTTGCTTGAAAACAAAACCTATTTTAATGCAATGCTGGGAATTACTTTCATTCCCAGCCAGAACTAATTCCCCAAGATAAGCCCAAATTTGTCAGTGCTGGGGAATGCTGCCAAAAACAGAAGTCTCCAAAGTAATTATAACAGAACTCCCCCGAAGTATCAGAAAAAACCGACCAGAGTACGCAGAGCTTCAAGAAGGACTCGGAATCTATTGAACTGCTTTGCTTCCTGCAAAGGTTTCGTCATTGAGGTCTGACTTTTATCCCTTATGGGAGGGGCAATCACCTCCCAGCCTTACTCCCGAGTCACCCCTTCTGCTTCAGCTGCTCTCGCCTTCTAGCGGCTCTGCGCACACGCGCTCTGGGAACAGGCCAGAGGTGGTATTCAGAGGAAATTTTGAGTAGTTTGGAAAACCGGCAAATATCACCTCGGACTGGAGATTTTGCAGTATCCTTCCCCTGCCACCCCCACAGGACCAGTAGTAAAAAAATTTGAATCCCACCACTGGAGCAGGCTCCCCTGGGTCCTCTGCTTCGCTGCTGCCAGAATCTGAAGGCTCCAGAGGCAGCACCCCACTCCCAGATGGCCCTGGCCCCATCCCTGCATCGGATGCAGGACCCTCGTCCGATTCCTCCCTGGACTCCCGGACTGGTCCCCCTTCTTCCCCACTGTCCGATTCTGCTGCCGGCTGCACTGGCTGCAGGCGAACCACAACACTGTGTTTCTCTGTTTTGTGTCCCACACGAAGCCCAGACGAATACTGACAATGACATCCCCTAAACTCCACCGAAGATGTTACCTAGCCTGGCAACGAAATGTTTGGAAGCCAACCCACAATCTCAGAGAATGAACTTCCACCCTCAGGACTGTAAGTGTGAAAAATGGTCAAAAGTCACTTTTTTTCAGTGCTGTTGTCATTGAAATTATCTGTCTTGTAGGTAAAAAGATGATTTATCTTCTATCCTTTTTCCCTCATGTTGTAGCGATAGAAGTAAAAACAGTTACCACGAGTCCGTGAGTTCAGCCAAGAATGAGGAAAACCTCCCCCAACCCCTCGAGGGTCAATTTAGTGATCAATGAGGATTACAGATGGGGTCACGTGACATGGACTACATTTCCCAGGATACCTTAACTACATTTACCACAATGCATTCCTTTAAGGGGACAACTCACAATTGCTACCTAACTATCCAATTCCCATACACTGGCTGGACAGCACAATGGCCACTAAAAGAACTGTTGTAAGCCAAGGACCAGTCACTATACCTATTTTCGTTAGATTTGGCCCTCTTTATATTTAATCACAGTTCCATATCTTCCACCCTGTTCCTTGACTTTCTTTACTACTTGTGCACTAACTCTGTAAGTGCTATGAACTGTGGTGTTCTTCCTTGCTGTTTCACAGCACATCCCCCTGAGCGCAAGAAAGCTTTCGGATGCTCCTTCTTCCACTGATTGTACAACTTGCTCTTTTTATATGGTCCCACTGACTTTAAAACTTACCCATGCAAATAAATGTATTCCAACATTATCAAACTAACATTAAATGGAGAGGATGTGACAAAAAGAAAGAAAGAAGCACTTGTGGTATACGTACTTGTTCTAAATCCACTGCTTTTCATTTCTGAAAGTCTACATATTTGTTAATACCCAACTGCCTAATTACAACAATGCTGAGATAATAGGTTTACCCTGAGTTTGCTTTGGATCATCTTCTCATACTCTTCCTTTATCTGATTCCTTTCTTCCTCCAACTTCTCCTTTAGCTTCTGTTTGTTCACCTCATAACTCTGTTTCTGGTCCTCCAACTTCTGTTGGAGCATTTCCATTTTCTGCTTCTGGACCTCGTCCTCTAGTTCTTTGGCTTTGGCCTTCATTTTTTCTTCTAAACCAGGAAAAAAAAAAGGACAAACATCTGCAGATGGTGTGCAACGTGGCTAGATTTGGTAGTATGCAAATAATGTGATAAGTAAATAGATTTGGCATACAAGTAGTCCTTGGGACCGGAATAAGCCACATCATCATGTGACTGGGATGCTTAACAATGGCAGTTCCATAATTAGGTACTTTAGCTATACAATTTGGGATGAACACCCTTTGACGACAGGAACCAGGAGCACTACTAAGGTGACCCTGAGGAAACAGATAAGCCTCCAAGTGCTTCAAGGACCCTCTAAAAGGATGCAAATGACCATCTGTCTGCAAGGAATATCAATCCTTCCATTCCCCACCATCCTGTCAGAGCTGAAGAAGCTTCTTGGATGAGAAATGAACTGATTTCAAAAGAAAAAAACAAGAAAGTCCAGTTGCCTCCTGAAGAAGCACCTTTGGAAAAACCATGACCTGGATGACTGAGAATCTCTACAGAGTTCCATCATTAGGTAAGATGTCACATAATCCCCACCTGCAACCTCCTACTGGCTTCCCCATTGACTTCGCTTGTTGGGAGCCAGCAGTGAAAATCACAGATGGTGATCACCTGACCACGAGATAAAGGGATAATAAGTACATATATAAGTCAATTTGGCATATAGGCAGTCCTTGCTTAATTATGGCAATTGGGTGCAGAATTTCCATCACGAAGTGACATAATTGTAAAACAGAATGTCACGTGACTGTGCCGCTTAGCAACAGTAGTTCCAGTATTTCTGGTTGCTATCATTAAGTGAATCCCACACCCTCATTGATCCCACATCACTTTGTCCCAATTTCCTGCTGGCTTCACCAGTGACTTTGCTTGTTGGAAGACAGCCGTAAAGGTTGCAAATGGTGATCACCCGACCCTGGGACAATTTGACGGACCTTAATTGCAAGGACCGTTTATACATTCTATTCGTTCAGAACTGTCACATGTTTGAATGGTTGTTGAAAGAGGGGTTTTTAAGTGAGGACTATCAGTACACATTTCCAATCTCACTGTAAGGAGGGTGTTTGGAACTTGGACAAGAGAAGGTTGCAGGTTGCATTAGGAGAATTGCAAGGATATTGCCCAAAGAGGCATGAAAAGAATTACATGAATATTTTATGAAAGAGAATTCTTTCCCCTACAATAGAATAGAATAGAATGGAATGGAATGGAATGGAATAGAACAGAATAGAATACTTTATTGGCCAAGTGTGATTGGACACACAAGGAATTTATCTTGGTGTAAATACTCTCAGTATACAGAGAAGAAAAGATACATTCATCAGGAGTCGAGTATCATAAGGTATGACACCTAATGATAGTCATAGGGTACAATAAGCAATCAATCATACTAGGAAACAGTTAATATAAATCATAAGTATACAAGCGAAAAAGTTACAGTCATACAGTCACAAGTGGGAGAGGATATAAGTAAGGAGTGATGACAAGATTAACAGTAATAGTAGTGCAGACTTTGTAATAGTTGAACAGGGTTGAGGGAATTATTTGTTTAGCAGAGTGATGGCTTTCAGGAAAAAACTGTCCTTGTGTCTAGCTGTTCTGGTGTGCAATGCTCTATCGCGTCATTTTGAGGGAAGGAATTGAAACAGTTTATGTCCGGGATGTGAGGGGTCTGTAAATATTTTCACTATGCTGATTGTACAGGTATTGGATGTGATTCTGCCTAGTTTCACCTGCTGCTTCCTGTCTGTTAGGAATCATCCTATCTAAACAATTTTTAAACATGGGTGAGAGGTGCTTAGATCAGCTCCTTCATAATGCTGTCTTTCAAAAGGTCCCAGACATTCCTGCTTAGTATTTTGCAATCTGTGTTTTGGGGTTCAGGTAGTCCTTGACTAATGACCACAATAGGGACTAGAACTTTTATTACTAAGAGAGGCTGTGAATGGTGCCTGATTTTATGAACCTTTCTGACATGGTTGTTAAGTGAATCACTCCCAGTTGTTAAGTGAAGCCAGCTTAACTCAAAGCCTTTTGACTTTGCTTGTTGGAAGCCAGCTGGGACAAATTAAGATAGCGATAGCACTAGCACTAGCAAAAGCACTTAGATTTATATACCGCTTCACAGTGCTTTATAGACCTCTCTAAGTGGTTTACAGAGTCAGCCTCTTTGCCCCCAACAATCTGGGTCCTCATTTAACCCACCTCAGAAGGATGGAAGGCTGAGTCAACCTTGAGCCTGGTGAGACTTGAACTGCTAAATTGCAGGCAGCCGGCAGGCAGCAAAAGTAGCCTGCAGTACTGCATTCTAACCACTGCGCCACTGAGGCTCATCACAACTCAGGTTGATGCAACAGTCACAAATACATGCCAATTGCCAAGCCTCCAAATTTTGATCACATGACTGTGAAGATGCTAAGACAGTCTTAAGTGGGAGGAAGAACAGTTGTAAATCACTTTTTCCAGTGTTGTTGTAACTTCAAATGATCTCTAAACGAATGGTTGTAAATCAAGGATTACCTGAGTATATGAGTACATTTACAAATGTTGGATAATACTGCAGAAAAAGAAAACCTCTCTATTACCAAGTTAAATAGAGAGGAAAGCCTTTTCCCCGATGATCGATGGGTTTAAGGATAAACAAGTCTTTTCCCACCTTCAAAGCAGAAAGCTAGATCCCAGCATCACCTGACAGCTTATTCAACCTTTACCTTCTATTTCCTTCTCCTTCTCTTGAAGGCTCACGTCACTTTGAATGAGGATTTTGCTGATGTCTTCTTTGCTCTGGAGGAATTCTTTCAAGATCTTCCCTGCCTGATTGAAGGGGGGGGAAAGAGAATAATCTGGAGTGATATAGAGTTATCAGCAATGAGAAGGAAGTTTTTCCAAAGTAAACCACTGAACAATCTCCCTGGAGGATAACTTGGCTCTCAAGTGGGTAACAAAATGAGTATTAATTTAGCAACCCTCATCATTTTGTACCATTATTCCTTTCTTAGGTGACTTCGAGAATCGTTTCTCCACTTTCTGGAGGTCATTTAGAAATTCCTGCTGGCCACCAGCTGGGGCGTAGCTTCTGTTCTTGATGTTCTGCTCCAGAGTCCCAGAGAGTGAAATCAATAACGCTGAACTGATTTCAGAAGATTTCAGCTCATTTTTGCTGCAGTATTCTTCCTTTTTGCTATCCAGAGTTTTCTGTTAGGAATAAAATATAACGAAGCAAGAGCTGAGACTTGACAAACAAACACATGTTTGTGCATTGTATAAATTTGGATGATCTCCCATGATTAAACAGAGCCTCATCACAATTTGAAATGACACATGTGCTCTTCCTTCAATCTAACCAGAGCAGAGTTTCTCAACCTAGGCGTTTTTAAGATGTGTGGACTTCAACTCCCAGGATTCCCCAGCCAGAATCTGGGAGTTGAAGTCCATACACCTTAAATCCCCCAAGGTTGAGAAACACTGAACAAAAGGATAATTAATCCTTCGAGCACAAACATAATTGTCCAAAAAGGCTGATAATGATATTGCTTGCCATCCTGTCAATCATCCTGGATGTTCCTAACTGCATCCATCTTTTATCTTTTTGGGCAATCAGGCATGTTTCTAAACCAAATAACTGGTGGCAGCCATCCTCCAATTGATCAAGAACATCTACTCAACCTCTGTGAAACTATAACAAGAATACTATGCTCTGTATTCTTATAAATAAACTACTGGAGGCCAACCATCAGGAGCCATGGGCCTTAAATATTGTCTGCGTACCCATTCTTATACAGAAGATACTGCAGGCCAGTATCCCAAGGACCCATAAGCCTTAAATAGTTTCTATGAATAGAGGACCTATGGGAAGCTACAAAGAACCAACACTGGATGGTTGGATCTGACACCTGGGTCTGGAGAAAGTTGAGCAGGATGGAAATCTTGAATAAACTGCACACACGTCCAACAAGATCCAGAGACACTCTGAACAAATGGGGCTATCATGGCAGAGGCACCTTGGGCTGGTCCTTGCTGTTGCTAGGGCGGCCCTGTGGCCCAGATCTAAGCACCCTGTGGCATCCCGAGGGCCTTGACACCCCTGCCTTATTTTCATTGTGATGCTTCTGACACAAATAAACAAACATCGTCTATGAAGGTTAGTATCTTATGATTACCTACCATGAGTTCAGTCTGGAACTGCCGTGTATCATCCTTGAAAGCACGATCCATGAACACCTGGAGGGCTTGTTCCTCACATATTTTGTGTTGGTCCAGAAGTTCCTGGAGACTATCAGTAGGTAGCTTCAAGCTTCGTTCCATCATTTGTGTGTAGCGAGCAACAGCTTCCTGCACAGCTGCCCTGTTCTCCATCTCAGCCAAGGCCAAGACTGCGTTCTCCGGGCAGGGGACCTTCCCACTGGAGATAGTATCCACATAGGCCTCAACCAACTTTGCCAGCACTGAATAGAGAAAAATAACAAATTGTTGTAGTCCCAGCTGCATATATATGGGACAGGTAGTCCAGGCTGACAAGCACAACTGAGTGCAAAATTTCTGTTGCTAAGCAAGACACTAGTTAAGTGAGCTTTGCCCAGGGGTGGGATTCTACCGGTTCGGACCAGTTCAGGCGAACCGGATATTAAAGTTACAGCTGGTTCACCGAACCTGTATTTCAAATGACCGGCTGGCCCCACCCCTCTCACCCCTCCCCTCCCAGGAGTCTCCACGTGGCCCCATTTTCAATTGAGGTAAGTGCAGGATCCGCACGGAGACTCTGGGAGGGGGAGAAAATGGGCCTTCTGGAAGTCCGGAAATAGGCCTGTTTCTGGCTTCTGGTGGCCTCTGGACCCTTGGGAGGGCGAAAAACAGCCTTCCCAGAAAAACCAGAAGTGGCAAAATGGGCCTATTTCCGGCTTCCGGTGGGCCTCCAGAGCCCAGGGGAGGCTGTTTTCACCCTCCCAGAGGCCCAGGGACTCTTGGGAGGACGAAAACAGCCTCCCCCGGGCTCTGGAGGCCCACCGGAAGCCAGAAATAGGAGGTTCTGGTAGGCACCGCCCACCATGGCCCTGACCACCTAGCAACCAGGCAGTGAACCGGTTGCTGGATTTTTGAATCCCACCCCTGGTTTTGCCCCATTTTATGACCTGTCTTGCCATAGTTGCTAAGTGAATCACTGGTGGTGTTAAGTTAATAACGTGGTTGATAAGTGAATCTGGCTTTCCCATTGACGTTGCTTCTGAGAATGTCGCAAAAGGAGATCACGTGACCCTAGGACACTGCAACCGTCATAAATAAGAGCCAGTTGCCAAACCTTCTGAATTTTGACCACATGGCCACGAAGATGCTGCTATGGTTGTTCAGTGTGAAAAATGGTCATAGATTACTTTTTTCAGTGCCGTTGTAACTTCAAACAGTCACTAAATGAATACTAGAAATTGAGAATTATTATTATTATTATTATTATTATTATTATTATTATTATTATTATTATTATTATTATTCAGGGACCACTGGAAGATTTGAACTCCTTATCCCTCATTTTCTTGAATGAAGCCTCCTCCAGAAAGCCACCCAGCCTGGGAAAACATGGCAGTCGCCATCCATCCATCCAGATTGGAAAGCAACTTGCGGCACAAAGTGTTGTGGTTAGCCAGCAGCAGGTGCGGATGGCTGAGGAGAGCGAGGACTCAGGTGACCATTAAGGAGTAGACTGCTGCCTTCAGAGATTGTGGGGACTGGCAGGAGCGATGAGGAGGTTCCCAAGGAGCTGGTGCCAAGTGCGTGTATGCGCAGGATTGCTCGCAGGAGAGAGCAGTTACAGCAGCATGGGCGACTCGGGAGTAAGGCTGCAAGGTTATGGCCTCTCCTTCAAGAAGATAAAAGCCAGCTGTAAAACGAATGTACTTTGCAGAAGGCAAAGACTTTTTGAAACTCCAGCCTCGTGGACATTATAGTTAGTATTTGAAAATTCTTGTAAACTATTTCTTATCTGTGGGTTTTTGGCAGCTTTGAAGAACAACTTGGCAAGGCTCACTCTTGTCGGAGCTAATTAGTTGGAAGCAGCCTTTTATCTGTGAAGAAATAGAATTCATGAATGAAACCTTAAAAGGTGGGGGCTGCTGCCTTTGTCTTGTGTTTGCTCTCTTGGAACCAGGTTGGGTCAGAAGATCAGGGTTGTCAAACTGATGGCCCGCGGGCCAGATGCGTGACGCGCAGACCACGCCCGTCCCAGCTCCATGAATGGAAAAAAGGTCACAAAACATCATGTGACAGCAACATGACACAGCGATTTTGACACCCATGCCTTAGATTCTTGAGTCTGGTCCATAGTCAACAAAGGCTGTGATCTCATGATCAAAATTCAGGTGCTTGGCAACTGGCATGTATCTATGACGGTTGCAATATCCCGGGTTCATGTGATCATCTTTTGCGATGTTCTGACAAAGTAAAATCAATGGGGAAACCAGATTCACTTAACAAGCATGTTCCCAACAACTGCAGAAATTCACTTAAGAACTGTGACTAGAAAGATTGTAACATCGGGCAAACCTTACTTAACAACTGTCTGGCTTACCAACAGAAATTCTGGGCTCAGTTATAGTTGTAAGTCGAGAAGTACCTGTAGTAAAAGTAGAACTGGAGGCACTTACAGCTGCCAGTGACAACGTGCCCGCCTGGAAGAGTCTTCTCTCGGGAAGCCTTATAGACGTAACGACAGAAGATATTTGCTTGTTCCACAAATCCAGGCTCCAGCTCACTGTCCTCAATCTTTTCCAGGTCAGATAAGTTATTACTATTAGTAGGGCATTTAAAGACGAAACACTTCCGGGTGGGGAAGAACAGCCGGATGCATTTGCGTGGCAGATTGAATATCCGATCCTTTTCAGTGTTCTCTAGAAAGCAACGTGTCCATTTTGAAGGTGAGTCTGAATTGCATCTGCTAGTAGCCATTTCACTGGGGAAGGCGGTACTAGAACTCACCGTCTCCTGGTGATCGGCCCAAAGTCACCCAGCT